TTCTATTCATTCAATGAATAAGAACATAAAGAACTTTTTAAGAAGAGAATGGAAAAATTTGAGAAGACAATTCACTTTCAAGAATAAGCTATAGATTGGGGACAGAATAAGAGTTTTATATTCGCGTTTATTTCTTAAAATTTTAAGTCTTCAGGAATAGTGAGAGGAACCGAAGAAAGAATCTGCTTGGCTCAAACAGTGTTAAGGACATGCATGGTAAAATGTGGAAGACTTGGAAAGATATTGTTACGTTAATTCAAGTGCGAAGGAACAGTGGGAAGAGTCAACTGAGAGAAAGAAGCTGCTTGGCACAAAAAAGACCAACTAAGAGAGAAAAAAAAAACTGTTGGGCGCAAAAAGTGTTGTGAAGATGCCTTGAAGAAGGAGAATATGAAGAATTGGAAAAGAAGCTGCGGAGTGGAATCAAATCAAGAAATCTTGGGGGAAAACTTTAAACCTTCTATATACAATAACTTAAGTACATATGTTAATCCTACACTAACTTCATAAGCGTTAACTTAAACGTCACGTGAATAATTACTAAATGCTCATTCTTAATAATTTAAAACATGTATACTTAATTTTAAAAACTTAATACGTTTATTTAGTAACTTTTGATACTTATACTTAATTTAAATATTTATTCTTAATACTGCTTATGCTTAGCATGATAACTTTAAAATTTATGATTTTAATACCGAGACTTATAAACTAAACTCACTGTTTCTGTTTAATAAAACTTTCCCTTTTCCTTATTTAAAAAATTTTACCAAAGTATCATGAATATCCCTGCCTGAATGTACTAATTTTTGGATATCATTACAAATAAAAGTTTGAAAAATAATGCTTAGCTTTAACGTAAGTAACTCAAACGTAATAACCTATACTCACTACGCATATTGAATATCTTAACCTTATAATCAATGCTTAAACCTACACGAAAAAAAATATTCAGGTAAAATTAAAATAGTGGCATTTCTGGTAAAATAAACACATTGTTCTGGTTAATAAAACCAAAATATAAAGTATTAAAACCATTCATTTGGTAATTCTTCCATTCATATGGTAACAGTTTATCAGAAATTATAGTTTTTATTACCATGAATTTAGTAAAAAAGACAAAACTAAAACCTAAATGTAACCGAATAAATGACTTTTATGCCATACTCTAATGTATCATGACACAATTGCCAAATATTATCTAATTTACAAAATGCCATCACAATTTATAAAAGCCTATTTTATTGTTAATTTTACCAAAATCATTAGCAAAGCTATTCGGTAAAAATTAGCGAGCTTTTCGATGTTCCCATAGAGCCAGAAAGGCTATAAATTTTGCTATATGCTGGTAGTTTTGACCATACTTTTTTTTTTCTCCGTGTATACTTTATGATTTAAACTCAAATAACTTTCCACATATTTTAGTAACTTTAACTAAAATAATTTTAGATAATAACTAATAACATAATAATTGAGAACTAATCTATTTTTCTTTAATCATTTTAATTCCAGATTAAGGTCAAGGTTTGAAAAACGGCGTTGAGTAGCAATATGCTGTTTATTTTGGAAAGGGAAAAATGGAAAAAAACGTGTAAATAGCTTTAACCATCCGGGTGTAGGTCACATTTCAAAACAGAATGTGACCTACAACATTTCACAGGTAAAATTATTCACGAAGAGACGTCTTGGTAAACTAAGATGTTCAGAAACAAAGGGAAGTTTAAAAACTATTGTCATGCGCCTATAATATGATACCTTTCTTAAAACATCGAAAGAGAAGAGTGATCGGTGGGCCTTGACATTGGTGGGGTCGTATTTCAGTATTGTTTCTTTCACCTTTTGAGGATAATAAGCAATTTCGATTGTAGAGTTGGAAAGCGATAACACGAACTAGACGTTCATGAGCAATTTGGATAAAAAGAACAAATAACAGAGACGAATTCAACCATTAGAATTGTTTTGGAGAGACATTCTATACTTATTAAACTAATAAGTTTTAGAAGTGAATATCAACATTATTTAACTGTAATAGCTGTCGAATAAAAATTTAAATAGCTGAAAGACGTTTAATACAATACAATGATTTAAATGATTGAAAGAATAGAATAACTACATTATTTTATTTAAGAAGCTATTCCATGACAATTTAACAATTAGTGTTGGGAAAGGTGTTTCGTAACAATACAATAATTTAAAGTGAGAGTAAATAAAAGCACAACTATATACTGACATAGCAATCACATAAGAATTTATTAATTAAAGTTCTTGAATTTGAAAGAAAAAAAAGCATGATCAAAGCTACTAGAATATGGTAAAATTTGTCGTGTTCCTAGTTCTAAGGGAACATTGAAAAAAATCGGTAACTTTTACCGAATCGCTGTGGCAATTATTTTGGTAAAATTAGCAATAAAACATAATTTTACAATATGTCATAAAATTTGGTAAATGAGGTAAAATGTGGTAATCATGATACCTTTGAGCATGGTATAAAAACCATTTATTCGGTTAAATTTACTTTGTATTTCAGCTTTGTATTTTTTTATTAAATATGTGGTAAAAATACGAACTATAATTTTGAAAACCAGAATTTACGGTAAACCGTTTTTAAATGAAAGCAAAAATGACTAAATGCGAGGTTTAAATGCCGAATATTTTGGTTTTACTAACCAGAATTTTTTACACTTTTTTTTTCGTCAAAAATGTTATTATCATGCAGTACGGTGATGGGTGGTAATTTTTTTCTCTATATTGAACAATTCAATATTTTGCATTATTTTATTACATAACATTACTTTATTGAAATAAATGTTCAATCATAATTTAACAATCGGAATTGTGGTTTTGTAGAGACATTTAGTATAATCCAACAATTTAGGAGTTACGAAGGAAATAGCTATATTTTTTCGTTTTACATATCATTTTATACATATAGTTTATGATTTACATGGTCAGCTTTAGTAAAATTGTTTTTGAACAGGAATTATTAAAGTTGATAAAATTTGAATATGACAAAAAATATTTATTGCTGTGTCAAATTAAATTAAAAAAAATTTAGTCACGAAATCAATATTGAAGTCATTGAATGTTTTTTTTATCATTCTGCATAGTTTAATTACTTCAATAATAAACGCGAATTTTAACTACTATTGATTAGTGATGTATTTACCTTTAGCTATTGAAACATTTATTATGAAAATGAATTTCAACCTTATTTTAGCTGAAATTAAATTTTATTTGAAACAAATCAACCATCTAAACTAAGTTTATGCAATTTTCGATACAGTAGAGAAATTATATTCGCAGGAAACATTTAAATTTTGTTTAAAATACATAGTATTAGATAGTTTATTTGTAATAGTGTAATTGAAACAGAATATGAGCACTAGCTTCTTTTATACTTTTATGCTAACTTTCATTTTTTGGCTAACATGCATTCTAAAGGTCAAACTATTTCCTTTTTGTACACAACTTTCTTATATACTACTCATTGAAAATATTATTTTCAACGTAAACAGCATAAATTATTCGTAAAAAATGATGTAAGAGTTTTGCTCTTTATGTTTTTTCTCTTAATGATTTATGTTCTGAGAAATAAAGTTCTCAAAGAGAAAGTTTTCGAATTTAAAGTTCTCTACGAAAAGATGAAATGTTAGACGACGTTTTAAAATTGAGAAAATAAAAAAAATAGAGTATATTTTAAAATATCAAATTCAAAATATTTCTTTAAGAAAAAAAAATTGAAATTTCTTTTTAATATTATGATTTTTTGCTCTCTCGGTGGTCAATGGAAGGAAAAAAATCGAGTATCAATTGTTTTTCAACATTCAGGTGAAACATTGACTGTACTAAAACAAAGTCAACATTCAGCTTCTAGCTCGTTATTTCACAACACAAATTTAATGTTAAAAGACAACACAGTTCGAACGTAAAAAACGTGGGCAATGGGAAAAAACTGAGAATCAATTGTTTTTCAACGTTCATGAGAAACACTGACTATATTAAAATAAAGTCAACATTCCATGTGTCAGCTTCTTGTTCGTTATTTAACAACGCAAATTCAAAGTTAAAAGACGACACAATCCGATCATACGAAAATGTGGGCAGTGGAAGAAAAGAAAAAGAGTATCAATTGTTTTTCAACGTTCAGGTATAACACTAACTATACTAAAATAAAGTCAACATTCAATGTGTCAATTTCTTGCTCGTTATTTAACAACACAAATTCAGTGTTAAAAGACAACACAATCCAAACGTAAATCAAATACCATCTCATTGTGCAAAATCCGTTCTTCTCATGAAATTTTCGTTTAACGAAATCCAGAAAAATGAGTGACATTGCAATCTTATCAAAATAATAAAATGAAAAAATGTGTATCTGTAATTTTTGTCTTGAAAATATTTTCATAATCCTTTCTTCATGCATGTTTTTGCTGTTCGCAATCGCAAAATTTGCCTCAAAATGAAACTTTTTGAATCGGTCTTTCGATTTACTAAACACATATATATAAATCTCATATATATGCGCAAAATTTAAATTTAATTACTTTAATTAATTAAATAAAAAAATAGTTAAAAATGAGCTAAAACTAATTGTTCTTTATTGAGTATTGAGTTTCAAAGGGAAACTTAACAAACTAGAAGTTTGAGAACCTCTGCTTTAGAAAATGAAATTCAGCCTCTTCAACTTAGTTAATTTTTTTTCTTCACTTTATGTCTAAGTGATAAATTTCACTGTATTTACCTGTAGTTATAAACTTAATGTAATAAGTTATATTTTAAGCACTATAATAAACGTGTAAAATATGATAGACATAGTGAAACTATTTTGAAACTCGAAACTGTTTTCATACAGCGAGTTGAAGTAAATTACTGTTAACATTTTAATACGTACGTAAATAAGAATTTTTAAAGAAAATAAATTAAACATTGTTTGAAACATAAATTTATCGGTATGAATTGTTAAGCAAATGTAAAACAGAATTAATAAAATATGAACTTACCATCTGGGCATTGTAGTAATGAGTTACCCTAAAATAAAAAACAAAAAAATTAATTGCATTAAATGAATACTTCATAACTTTTAGTAAATTTTTTTGTTAAAAAATGCATAGAGATTTTTTATTGTTTGTTAGATATTTCTGATTTCAGATTATTTTAGTAAAATAGTTTAAAGAGCCCGAAAATTAGCCATTTAAATTTACAACACAGAGTTACAAGTTTACACAAATTTACAACACAGAGTTAAATTTGCAACACATTTAATACACAGAGCCATTAAATTTAGCTATAGTCCTTACGTATTTACATCTCGTTAAGCGTGAAACGAAATAAATTATAGAATCATGAAAATGTTTTAGTTTTCTCGTAAAATAAAAAAGATTTGGTCCTTTAAACATTTCCAGATAAGAACCTATTTTGAAAGAAAAAGAATATATTGTTTTGGAAATATTTATATGAAAAATTTTCATATTTAGATCATTATAGTCATTGCTTATAAAAAAATTAAACTGATTTGAAATTCTTTTGCACGCAAGAATGATGGTTTCTTTTTAAATATCTCTTTACACTTTTTATATTTTATAACCATCGTTGAACAGGTACTAATGTTCAGCTCTGTAGCCTTGTAGTTTGGAACCCAATCCAGAAAACAAGGGAACTGCTGGATCAAGTATTGGGAGAAGATTCGTGGAAGACTTTTTGATGGAGCTAAGATGTATTTACGTTACATAGAAAGAAAAATCATGAAAACTTCCCACGACTGTCCTTACGTCAAGGGGACTCTAACCCATGATCCGTCTAACACTGAGGCTATTTTACCTCAGAACTGTGGTCGGTGCGATCCGGATGCGGAATTCGTATCAAACAGCCATTGCTGGGATTGGAAATTGGTTCACCTCATTGGAAGGCGATAGCTTTATCCCCTTAACCCCCACGGCTGTTCTTTAAACTTTTGAGAATTTACTAAGTACAAAAAAAAAAAGGCAACCTTAAACATTTTTTGACGCTGGTATGGGTTGACGCTAACTGTGCTGAGCTCTTAACGATTCAAAAGGCTAACCTTAAATATGCTAATTAATTAATCTTGGTGATAATTTGAGTTACGATATCAGACACGGCAAAAATAAACGGCACATTTTACTGAAAAAATAAACCTCTTTTCGATTTATTTGGACTCTAGATCCTTGGAATATACAAGATAGTCGCAGTTGGAAAATATGGTTTTAATAGTATGGTAAAGAAAGCGTTCGAAAATAATGGACCAATAATGTTAATTTCACTTTTTGCGTCTTTCGTCATCTAAGAATATATACTTTATATTTTTTTTCCTTAGCAACTATTCGGAAGATTTCCTTCGAACTTTGGAATTTATGATTTAAAAATACATTGACTCATCACTCAAATAGTTTTTGACCGTTTGTAAATAAAAAATAGTAAATAATAATAAAAAATGCTCCTTTTTTGCTTGGAGTAGACAAACTAGTTTTATAGAAACCTAAAAAAATAATGATTCTTTAACAAAACCCGCAAGAGATATTGAAAAATATGCAAAAAGTGAATTAACTTTTAGAGGCCCAAACATTTAAGCAATTTATCGAGACTTTTTGCTTATCCATTTTCTCCATATTGCGGTTACATTCGACAGTTTGGTGCCAAAAATCTAAATCCGTCGAAAGAAGGTATATTTAATCAGAGAAATTCGTTTGCGTCTTATTTCGTTATTGACAATATCGTCTGAGCAAATTTACTATTATATTTAAATTCATTCTCCTGAACCATTAAGATTGTTTTTTAATGCAGCTGAATTGTATGATTATATCTAAAGTCATTCTGGTGATCTGCTTTTATTTTGATTCCTCTCTGATTAACTGTTACAACTGTATGCAATTTATTAATGGAGCTAACGGATTAATGGAGCTAATGAATTTATAAATGGAGCTAGTTCTTAACTAAAACATGTCATTCACCAAGACTTCAATTACTTTAAAAGACTTAATTATATCTAATTTAAAGACATTTCTCTAATTACGAAGACTAATGCTTTAGATGTTTCTCGAATACTTTATATACTAAGCAATAATTTTATTAATTTAAAAACTTTAAAGTGCTTTTCAGATTTTTGAGTTTAACCATGTTCTGTTAAACGTGATTATTTGCGTAATATAAAAATTTAATTTAATGGATTTAATTGATTAAAAAAAATTAAAATACTTCACAGTGCAAAAAATTGTCTACAATTTTTCCGAATTTGATGACACTTAAACCAAAAAATTTTGTGAAGGAACACTTATTTCCAAGTTAACAGTAAATCGAGTTTCATATACAATTTAAAAAGCGTATATAAATCAAAAACTCTTATAATGGAAAAAGTTTACACCAAGTTCACTCGCTTTCACACCAAACGTTAAATACTTTCTCTTCCTAAAACGCTTTATATGTTTTAGATAATATCTTTGGAGCGCTTTAGATATCGTCTGTAGATTGTTTACATTTGAATGCAAGCTGGCGAGAGTCTCAACGTTTCTATATATTTACTAAAACAAAAGTTCGTCGATAAAATATGTATGCTTTCTTTCAACTGTGTTATTAGTATATTTGTATTTTAGTTTTCTAAGCTTCTACGAACTGTTTTAAATGATTTTGTAATATATATTTTCTATTCGTTTTGGTTCCGTTGAGCCTAATTTGAATTCGCTTTAATATTCTGCCTTTACTACGAGTATGAATTATTGATATATTTATAAACTAATTTCATTTCCCAAATTTGTGAGTATATGCATCTTAAATTAATGATTCTTACTTTATATTGTCCCTTAGAAATTACTTTTCTGAGTTTTTATTGTTGTGTATCTTATCCTGCAGTAATTATAAATATTTTTGTAACTGAATACTAAAACTAGGATCGAACCCGGGTCACCTCAATGGAAAGCAAACGCTCTATCCCCTGAGCCATCGCGGCTCCATCAAAAATGTTAATATTAAGTTAATCGATAATCAGCTAACGTAAAGATATTTCCTTCTACTAAATGGGGTATTTTTCAGATAATAACATATTGCCAATGATAAAAAAACCTTTTAGTGAGCGAATTGTTTATAATTAGTATCCTGTTGGAGTTATTGTATTTATAATTTTAGAATTAGAGCGGAAGTTAAAATGCAGTTTCATTGAACTAATTTATTTATTTATTTCCGAATAACGTGATACGATATATATTATTTAATTATAGCGAAGGTCGAATCATTAGGCGTAGATTACGTTATGGCCCAAAAACGTGAAAGAAAATGTAAACGAAAATATTCTTAACAAATACTCAAAATTATTGAATACGCATGTTTGATATGCTTGAAACATAATAACACGGCATCAAAAGATGAAATCTAACCAATTATAAAACATTCACATTCTTTCTTTCAATGTATTAAAATATTCTGTTTTATAATAGAATTCGTTAAACGCTTTCAAAACTTATTAAGAGATTTACATATTAAAATGGAGATTATTCATCTAAAACTCTTTTTGAAGTTTTTTTTTTTTTTTTGCTTCTTAAAATTAAGGTGCTATCTGGAGATCTTTTCAATAAATATAAAAAATAAATAATAGATTAAATTAATAAAAATAGATTGAAAAAGAAATATTAGAATATAAATATAAAAGCATAATAAAGTTAAAATAAGATTTTCATTTCTACACTGAAAAAAAATGGTCAAAAATAGAATATGGTAAAATTTTCCGTGTTTCTTTTTTGTCTCGATTATTTTTAGCAAAATTAAGAATAAAATATTATTTTATAATATACGATAAATTTCGTATATGTGGTGAAATTTGGTAATTTCATCACGACACTGGTAATAAAACCAAAATATACGGTATTTAAACCAGTCATTTTATAAAATTTTTCTTCCGAATGGTAACGGTTTACCGAAAAAAATATGGATTATATAAATTATAGTTCTTATTGCCATACATTTAACAAAAAATGTAAAACTGAAAAGTAAATTTAACCCCATAAATAGTTTTTATGTCATGCTTTATGATATCATGATAAAATTACCAAATTTTTATCACAAATTAAAAAAACCATATATTATTGTTAATGTTATAAAAACCATTACCAAAGCGCTTCGGTAAAAATTTTTGGTGTTCCCTTAGAACCAGAAGCACAATAATTTTTAAGATATTCCGGTGGTTTAGACCATACTTTTTTTTCTCAGTATATATATGTTAACTGTTGTTATAGTTGAAAAAATTAATCTATAATTACATAAGGTATACAGTATGTTATGCATAAAAAACGTTTGCGCTTTTTTCTTAAATAATATGATTTGGGAGCTTTTAGCTTTCTTTTTTCTCTCTCAATGTGATCGTTTCATTTTTTGAAGCATATTGTAATGTTATTTAAAACTTAATGAAGATTTGCGAGCGATGATTTCTTTAAAAAAAAAGAAATATATACTTTTTTCCCAAATTGTTGATATTTTTAAACTTAATATTAATTTAAAAATAAGTGGGCTTAGCCAAAGATTCACAATGTAAACAGCGTTTAATAGTGCACAATGTTCCACATGATATACCATTTGATTGATGCTTATAGTATCCTTTTTTTCTTTCATTACGCAATTTTTTTACAATCACCCGGAATTTTAAGGGATCATATATAATAAATAAATAAAAAAGAGTTTCTGTTTTAAAAATGACAGGGGAGGAGCTATTTTTGCGCTCTGAAGTAAAAGTTCATTTTTTAAGATCAGAAACCTCACACAATTTAATAAGGAAAATTAGTTTTTAGTTTAATAAGGAAATTTGTTAAAATTAGGACAGATTGCTAATTAAATAATTTCAAAGTCAAAAATAACGAAAGCTCTACCCAAGACTGTTTTAAGAATCAAGTTTTTTCAGTTTTTTTATTAACAATTCTCTAATTGAATCGTTGCTGAAAAATATTAAAATGTTTTCGTTATTGTTATTTTAATAAAAACTGCAATTTTTAATTAAAATATAAAGATAGATTCGAGAGTTAAAGACAACTGCA